GGGGGGGGGACTGATACAGGTACTGATCCACGGGGGAGCTGTAGGGGGGAGGAGGTTGCTTTTTTCGGGAAGGTTGTGAGGATTTTGTCCTAATGCAATTGCTGTGTGTATTACATAAACGGTCAGAACTCCCAACTGATTCAAATTCTTAGCATTTGTGCTCAGAGACGGACGTTAAATCGGAGGTCCCAATCGGTGGTCTTTGTGTCTTGTGTCTGTTGATTTAATGTCCAGCTGTAAATTTGTTTTGGGAAGGATAGTTGGGTTTTTTCTTGTCTCTTCCGAAAGCCAGCCTTTCATTAAAATATTATTGTTGTATACATACGTCCTTTTTTTTCTTTTTTCTTTTTTTTTTTGTAAGTTCTAAACCGAATATCGATTTCTTTTTTTTTATCATTTTCATTTGTATTATTATTTTTGTTTGGTTTAGTTTTTATTTGTAGTTGTTGTTTTTGTTGTTTGTTTGTTTTTTTGGGGGGTAGTGATATTATGCCGACTCAAGGTGTACATGTTGAATTCCGTTGGCGGGGAGGGGTGGGGGTATGCTAGATTCGTAATGCCTGCTTAGAAATCAGAGCACAATGAATGACGCAGTATTCCGAAAGATGATCTCATTTTAATTATTTTCTTTGTTCGGATTTGTTGAATAGATTGCGTGTTGTTAAAAGGAGTCAAAACAAAGAAGTAAGTCTAAATATGACCAACGCTAATTCTTTATCAAATCTCCTACCTTCCAACAGGATGGCAGAGTTCAGTTTATCCTCCGCTTCCAACATGTTCTCCACATCCATCTTGATTGTTTGTGTATTGAGCAGCTCACAAAGCTTTCACTCAGAAATAAAAACACTGGCGAAAAGTACCGACTGTTCCCGTTAGTATGTGAGAGGTTTGTTGAGTTCAGTCCGGTCACCCCAGGTGAACATTATACGCATTTTCCCACTAGAGGTTAGGGTTGGGGGGGTTTTTTAAGAGTGGAACCTTTTCAGTCACTTTTGTTGTTTTTTATTACTCCAGTCAAAACGGTCGTTCAGCTCCGTGAGATAATTATCTCCTCTCCGGTGGCGTGGTCGGAGGCATTTCTGTCCGGGTCGCGGCACTCGTTGAATGATCGACTTCGATCTATGCCAGACTGTTAGCGGAACCAAAATAACTACACTAGTCCGTTTCTTTCTCCAGTTACTGAATCTAGATGAGAAGTTGAGTGTAAAAAAAATGTAAAGCAGTCTCTCTGGGGAGAATAGAGTGGGCACAAAGCGCCCCAGGTATACTTCCCGTAGGTGCAAATTACTCCACCTGCATTCAGTCTTCTTGGGTAGACCGTCTTCACCTCCTGCTCTTGGTAACGAAATACGAATCAGTCCCCGCCATTGTCTTTCTCTCTGCTATATATACCGCTGTCACCAAGGGTCTCGCAGTGTCTTTTTTGTCTGACAGCCCCCTGGTGCTTTGATCTTTACCTATGGTTTTTACAGACCTACTCTAGCTAGCGAAGATTTTAATTGCTGAGACAGGCGATCGGTAGCGGACCTGGCTCGTTTCAAGGGGTGTCTGACTGCTTCCTTGGCACGGTTCCTACTTAGTTTTGTTTTATGAATACAATCAACGGCGGTTTGCACACATACAGAGGGTCTATAGATTTTTTTTCCTGCCACTTCACGCAAGATATTTTACTGCGAGTTAATTCTTCTTCTTGGCATTTTCTTGAGGGTACCTGTCTTGTCGAGCGTGACTTTTGTGTAGGAAAGAATACCGTCTCCTGTCGTGCTTTGTCTTTCTAGAACAGATACAATAGCTGAAGGCTGATCCCCAGAACAGTTACAAGACACTCAACAACAGAATCATTCACTATTGATTACACAGCGCGTGATTTCGGCTCGATGATCGAACCACTCTTGAACACAAAGCTTGCCGCAAGAAAAGCCGGCTGATCCCTTAGTTCTGAAGCTGATGTGTTTGTGTGTGTGTGTGTAGTCTATAGCTTTGTTTCAGCTCATTAAATGTATAATATTATGTTGGATTTTCCGAGACACCCGTACATTTTAAACACACGGCTGAAGAAGAACACTTGTTCTAAGCCCGTCGTCGGATCAAGTTTCAACACAGACAGCGAGAACCACCAGAACTGTTATTTTGTATCCAGTCAGTACAGCCAGCCGTCCGCGGCGCCATATTGTGCTTGGAAGCGAGCATTATTATCCTCGTCAAGGTGTCGCATTGTTATGAAAATCCTATAGGGCGCTCCTAATGAGCTAGCTGGCCTGGGTGTATGGGGTGGCCAGTGCCAGCCAGCCAGGGGTCTTGGCAGTGGCGCCGGCCTCTGTGTACGGCGGGTCACTCCACACGGTTGCCAATAAATATATACCAGGGGGACGTTGGCGCTGCCGGACATTGCGCGAGCTGACTGACCACCGCTGTGTGTTTACGGGGCCGTTGACTCACACGGCGACAGTGTGATGCCATTCATCATCATCATCATCATCATCATCATCATCATCATCATCATCATCATCATCATCATCATCATGGCGCGTCGCGGCCCCGCCGGAGTTTTCCCCTGATATACCGGAAGGAACGGAAACTTTGTATTGAACTGTGCGGT